GAGCAGACAATCCAGTGATGGACTCTACGATCCATCTCTTGACCAAGTGCTCCAGAATTCCTGCTTAATCCTTGGCAGTGTATACCCCCGTCCTCTGTGCCACCAAAGAGAAGTGCTCAAACAGGTTCTTGTCCTGGCCGTCGTACATGAGATGAGCCGGCATGGAGATCTTCTTCATCATCATGTCCTCCAGCCCCAGCATTGCGCCCTCTGGATCGATCTCAAACAGCTTCTCCACGGTCCTGGTGTAAGCATTCTCGTGCCACTTCTCGTCGGATGCGATGAGGCTGCAAACAGTCGCGAGCTTGTGGTCTCCGTGCTCCTTGGCATGGCGAGCAGTGTTGCCGTGAGAGATGGAGGTGGCTTCCTCCTGGAAGGACTTGTAGATGAACCTGAGGTATGGATTGTTCTCGGTCCTGCAAGGATGGAAAACCCGAACTTTTGAGTTCCCGAGAAAGAAGAAACTCTGGCTCTTTACCATTCCAGAACCGATCAAGTACTGGATCGTCTTCTCGATTTGCTTCATATCGACTCGTCCAGTGAGCTAGAGATACTTGTTGAGCAAATCACCATGGCGATTCTCCTCGGCAGTCCAGGCACGCCCCCACAGTGCCCACGCACTCGGGCTCGCACCGGTCTCGTCGCGGGTGCCATCGAGAGTGTTGAGCATCGTCAAGTAAGTTGGCAGCGCTTCCTCGGTGATCATGTCCCCGACGAGGCAGAAGAATTAAGCTCTTGGCTCGCTCCCTCAGCTCACGGACCTCGTCGTAGAAGCTCTCCGAGGATGGCTCCGGGAGATAGTCCTGGGGCTGCCAGCATTTCTCCACCAGCCGGAGGAATGATGGATTCCTCCGCCCAGCCCTCGAGCGACTTAAACATCTCGATCTTCTCGGGAGAGAGCGAGTGCATGATCTGCGAAGCCTTGCTGCTGTCTTGCTTCGCGATGCTCTCCCTGTGCATGCAAAGAGAGAGAAAAAAATCCAAGCTTTCATGAAAGAAGAAAAGAAAACAAAGCGATCGATACTCAGCTGCGGCAGTCATCGCAATTGCTTTGGCAATGGCAGCCATTGGAACCAGACAAGGCGAGCTGCAAGACATGGAGTGAGATTGAGAAGAAATCGCGCATGCAAGGGCATGCATTCTCGATCGAGCGAGAGAAATAGAGATCGAGAGCTCACCTGCGATGGGAGGACTTGTTGGCGCCGAGGCCGCCGCTTGTGTCTGAACCTTCGCAGCACCGGGTTTGAAAGCCTATGCTGGGAGGCTCCACAACCTTGCATGGATTTCATTCTCCTTTACACTGTACTTCCATCTTGGAGTTAAGGAGTTGCTTGGAATTTATTTTGTCGTCTTTCAGGATTACCTTTCTTCGTATATTTTCGCTCTCTTTGAAGAAAACGAAAAGTCAAGTTCCAGTAAAGCTCATATATCACTCACGAGCAGAGCGTTTTCTTCAAATTCAGACTTATAGAAATTAAGAAAAGTGAAGGTCCCGGCCTCTTAAATTTTCTAAATTGTAACACAAAACCACTAAAAAGAACTAAATTAAATATGCTTATTTGATGTCTAGGTATATTATAAAGTCCGTGGAGCAAGAACTGGTTTTTCTGGCGGTTGAGCTCGGGAGGATTGCTTGCCTGTGTGCCCGCTTCTTCCTTCTAATGATTCTCTCGCTTGTGGCATAGATGGAGCTGAATCTGGATGGCGCCCATGGTGAGTGATCGCATCTCTCCTTTGCTTGCTCGATTGTTTTGCTGTGGACCTTGGTTTTTCTTGCTTGGGTGCTTTCTTTCTCCTCTTTGCCGCAAGGAAAGAAAGAATAGAGAAGGCAAAGAGCTCGACTAGATTTCCCACGCCTCCAGCAGCCCACCGGACAAAGTCCGGCCCGACCTGGGGACATCCTGGCTCGGGCGTTTTCCTTTGGACGCGTCCCCTCCAAATGGGACTCGTGGGTAATTTGCAAGAGGAGGCTGCTGCGCTAGTGGAGGTACTCAGCGACACCGTGGCGGCCTCCACAAATTCCTTAAATCCAAAGAAGCACACATCCTGAAAGAGCAATGTGAGCCCTCCAAAGTGGGAATGGGGCTCGATGCTTGACGGTAACCAGATCATCATCTGGCCCTCCGCCACACTGTCACAAACAAAGAAATCATAAATTTCATGGAAAAAATGGATTTTTTCTTCTTTCGATCCATACCTCTTTATGCAGTAGTAGCAGAAACCAGCAAGGATGAATGTCTGGACAATCTCGGTGACCAAAACCATGGCAGGCCATAAGCCATAAGGAATCAAGCTCCAGTGTTTGAGCTGCGTTCCCAGCGTGTAGAAGAGGTATCCACATCCAATCTATCAGCTGCAAAAGGAGAAGAAAAATGCGTTTCTTTACATGACCTTCCTCTTGCCTTGCAATGAGATTCATACCTGGAGCAGCCAATACACACAATTGATAAATCTTGCAATGCTAAGGGCAAAAATGTAGAGTGCAGAACAACACCTTGCTGGTTGTCAAGCCCATCCCGGGAGCAATCATCATCAACATCAGTGATCTCCTCAAGATAAAGTTGAGGTAAGGTTGTTTCTGTTCTACTCTGTCCATCTTTGAACTTACTCGAGATGAGTAAGTTGCTTGATGCAGGAGAGGAGAATCTCACTGCACAAGATAGAGTTTATAGGAAATAATATTAAGGAGATTTATTAAGGGTGAACACTTCTTGGATTTAGCAACATAAAGCTTTTTTTATAGAATTAAAAAGATATCTCAAACATGGAAATAGTGATCTTATATTGTTTAGTGCAACAATCAAAGGATAGGAGCAAAAAACTAATAGCCAAAAATGAGTCATGGAAATCATTAAAAGAAATCCAAATAATAAAGTTAGGTAAGGAATACTCATATGTGTTTGATATTAATAAATTGTGGGAAAGAAAATATATTTCTAAAGATGGATCACTAAATGTTTCAATTTGGCCAAAATGAAAGCTCCAAAAATAACAAGATAGCCAAATGATAGGGTTATGGACAACTTTAGCACAAATTATAGATTTCAACCATATAGTATTAAGCAATTGCACTAATTATTGCTCTAAAGTAAAAAAAAGGAGGCTTTGCCATAAAGATGAATAACCACAAGAGAAGAAATCGAAAAAGTTATAAGAAAAGGAAGATTTAGATAATGTAAAAGCTATATCTAAACTAAAATCTCAAATCTAAACACTTCTCAGAAATAATCCCTCACCTCCACCAATGTGAGTGTATAAAATATAGAAATGAAATATAGAAATGTGCATATCAATTAACCCAAAAACCTTAGTTTATATATAAAAGTAAATGGTTTGGATTAAAACTAATCCAATGGCTATCAAAATTCTATTATGCTAATATTAATATGTGGCATAGTAGCTATACACTTGGACCTCACAAATACAATTTAATGCTCCTATTAATTTTGTAAAATGGTTTGAGGGACATTTTATTGTGTTTTTATAAAAAATAGTAAAAATTTGTTACGCATTGCATGTAGCAACTCTTAGTTTGCTTAATAGTAATGTTATTCTTACTAATCTTTCCTCTCCTAATCTTTTCGCTAGCACCTTGCCACCGCAGGTAAGAAAGGCAATCCAATTCAGTCGAGAAAAATGCTTTTCTTACACTGTAATCATTTTGGATCCCTACACACGGTCCCTCACCACACATCTTGAGCATTGAAGTAGTCAGTAAACTCATAGTAACGGTGAGCAAAAGTTCTATCGTCCTGCAAAGATCAAGCACGTAAAAATCAAATCTCTTGAAGAATAAAGAAAGGAAATTTCTCACTTGAGTCGTGTAGTGATCCAGAGTCTGTGTGTACCAATGCACATCAGTCGTCAATAGCGCATCACTGTAATGATGCAACATCGCGTGGAATGAGACGCCAGCGCAAGAAAATACAGCTGAGGCACCAAATCTTCTCCATCTCGGCCTGGTGCTCAAAATTCCTGGATCCAGAGAGAAATCTCGCGCTTCCCACATTCATGATCCCGCCATTCCCAAATGATAAACCCGCAACCAAACCCTAACGAATTCAGCTGAAATGATGTCCTCAAGGCAAACCGGAATTAAGGGCATTTCCATATAGCTCGTCCTAAAATAACATTTAGCCAGAGCATTAGTCGAAACCTGCAACTCTAGATATGATGCAACCTTGTTCATCTCCTTTAGAAATACTGTACATCTAAAGAAATGAAAGGAACTAACTTAACTGTGCCTTGAGCTGCTTGCTCTCCTGCCTCGAGTCGACGACCATCGCAACTAGCGTTCAGCTTTTTTTGTATACGTAGAACAGGAGAGTAAAGATAAAATTAAAATAGAAAAGAATGTAATTGAACATACAAATTACTTTTGAGCAAACTGTCAATCTAACGAACCATAAACATAATTAGAATTTATAAACATTCTGCTTGTTTAGGAAAAGTGGGAAAAATAAAAGTGTGGGGTTAAAATACCAAATTTTCCGAGCACTGATTTATTATAAATAATAAAAGCAATGACAATGTCTTTTTCTTAGGAATTGCTGATAAAGATTGAGTGCCAATTTATCCTCGACCCTGAGAGGTAACAAAAGTTGCTTGTTCTCCTTCTGAAGTCTCATTTGCCCTGGACTAATCATCAGCTGGTGTGACATAGTCATCTTGGATAAGGTGAAGCTTGACAACTTGGTCCACTGTTTGAGAAACTTTTTCTTTTCTTAACCACTGCTTACTCTTGGCTTATTTGCATGTAAATTGGACACAATGTTGTGATAGGATGCAACTGTATGATTTGTGGACAAGTTGGAATTGCTGGATCTTGCACATAAGTATGAGATCTTTCTCTTTTTCCTTCACTGCAGACTAGGTGATAACGTAGTCTTGTGTTGCGGACCACATAGAAATCGCTTCAAAGGTCCTGCTTCCTGATGTTGTCAATCTTTCCATCACTTTCTTTTCTCCAGGTCCGAATCACAGCGAAAGTGGAGCTACCTCTACCATTGCTGAGCCGGTTTCTTTTCCCAGTTCAGTTGCAAAGATCTCGTGCCTACTGAAGTCACAGGTGCCCGTGATACATGGCGGCAATCGGTGGTGGCTTTGCGAAACCTTTGTGGCAAACATCCAATGTGAGAGCTTGGCGAGAGCTTGTTGACAACACCAAGCTTGCTCTCGAGCTCGGCGACTGTGTAAACTCGCTGGTAGCCACAAAACCAAGGTTCTCAAGACTACTTCAAAGATTGTTTGGCGCGACTCCTCAAATATACATCAAAGTTTTTTCTCAAGTGTATCTTTTCCTACTCGCATGCTCCGAAACGCTTGGAACGCAGCGATGGCGTCTCCTTGAGCGCCATGTCCTGCAATCAAAGTATTCCATGCCACAGTGTTGGGAGACGCAATGGAGCTCTCAAACACAAGCTCGGCGACCTCGACGCTCCCGCATTTACAGTAGAAGTCGAGCAGGGAAATCCTTACAGAACTCCCTTCCAGTCCCTGCCGGAGAATCTGTCCGTGGAAGAGCTTCCCGAGCTTCAAATCTCCCAGGTTCCTGCAAACTTGCAACAACGCAAGAAAGGTTTGAGAGTTTGGAGCAACTTCCAGGGCTGCATAGCATTCCAACGCAAGCTCGTCCTCGCCAATGTAAACACATCCAAACAGGAAAGAGTTCCACGAGAGTATGTCGCGATCTAAGATCTTATCAAATACCCTGCGAATGTCCATGATCAAGCTTCCACACTTGGCATACATATCAACCAGACTGCTGGATCTCTCTCCAGGCCAAGCTGCGAGATCCACGAATGGATTTTCATTGCTTTCTCGAGAGATTCTACGTCTAAATCCCATTTTCTTCTCCGTGATTTACGCTACAAGCCTTGATAGCGGCGACACAAGCTAAACGATCGGGTTTAAATCCTTGTTCTTGCATGGAAGAGAAGAGAAGGAAAGCTTCGTCTCCATCTTGGCTCTCGTGAGCATAGCCTGTGATGATCGATGTCCAGGAAACGATGTCGTGCTGCTCCATCGAATCAAACACCCTGCGAGCATCTTCTAGACTTTCACACTTGCCATACAAGTCCACCATCGCGTTTCCCAAGTGTATGTCTCCTCGCCTCCAACTTGAAGCCGCGAGAGTTTGATGCGTGAGAGTGAATCGCCAAAGCTCGTTCCAAGCTCTTGATCTCCACAGCCAACGACGCACCAATCTCCTCTCGCGCAGCCAGACTAGAGCAAGTTTTGATAGCCGCGAGAAAACTCGAGCAATCTGGATTGATCGTCCATCTCCAAGAAGAGCTCCAGAGCCAAATCTTCGAGCGTATCCCAGAACCAATACCGTCCAGGAGACAACGTCGTGGTTCTCAATCCCGCCGCCGAGAGTCTCTCATGCTTCCACACTTGGCATTCCAGGAAATGTTCACTTAAACATGATACCTTTAAAATAAAAGATGCATAAACTAAGATTCTGCCTTTACAAACAAGCCCTAGAGCTCTTTCGAGATGGTTAAGCGCGAGCGCGAGCGCGAGGATAGCTTGGAGAACTACGTGCCCAAGAAACCTAGGCAAGGGATGGAGTACCACACGGTCTTGGATGAAAAATTCTGTGATGAATACCCAGCGCTGGTAGAGAAATATAGACTAGAGAAGTCGATTGGGGGTGGAGGGCAAGCAACGGTGTACAAGGCATTCCGAAGGAGTGATGGAAAGGTTTTTGCGATCAAGACAGTTCATGGGCCCGATGGGCTGTTTGAAGCTCGAGTGATGGCTATGCTAGAGGTGTCACTCAAGGGTTTGGATGAACAGGGGCTCGTCCACTTCGAGCACATCATACGAGAAGAGCCCAATCAGTACGGGGAGGTGTACCACCTTGTTCTTGAGCTGTGCAATTGCAGCCTTCAGGACCGGATCAAGTACAAGGGGCAGCTTGATGAGGAAGAATCTGCAAAGATCGTCATAGCTCTCGCCAAGACGCTAAAGAGGGTTCATGACAACGAGATCATCCACTGCGACCTGAAGCCCGCGAATGTTTTGCTGAAGTACCCGCGGCCTGGGAAGTTCTATGTCCCAAAGGTGTCCGACTTTGGGATGGCTTGCTGGATGGATGATCCGTGGAACGAGTGTGGGGTTGGGACGTGGGATTATATGTCTCCCGAAGCGATGTTTGATGGACACTATATCAAAGCCAGCGACGTGTGGGGTTTAGGGATGCTGCTTTACACTTGCCTCACGGCAGCTTGTCCGTTCTCAAATATGGATGTGGAGGTGGTATTTAAGAATGCACGCAAGCGAGATCAAAGTTTAAGGAACCTCCATCACAATTCTATGGATTGGGATAGCATTCCATCCCTTTCTGCAAGGCAGCTTATCCAAGGCATGACGGAATTGGATCCCGGAAGGAGGCTTACTTTGGAAAAGGTCCTCGAACATGAGTGGATAAAGAAATATTTATAGAAATAATGTTGCTCTTATATAAGGACCATGTAAATCTTATAAGCTAATGTTTGAATTTGAAAAAATCAATTCTACAGATTCTTTTTTCTCGCATAGATGATGGTCCACCGTCGGCAACTGCTCTGCAGCATCGTGCTGGCCCACTTCCATTGAAAAGGAGAGAGCTCTTTATTTCTTCTTGTTTCATCTTGGCAATAGGTGTTATAAGCCAGAGCAGCGTCGCAGATGAAGCAGGGGCTGCTCCAGACGCTTCGATCCAGCAAATTCTGCGAGGATTTTGGAGCACCACCAGCTTGCTGCTCCGGATCGCAACTGCAGTTCCGTGCGTCGCGTTTCTCGTCCGTTCGAAGGAGAGGAAGAAGATCGCCTCGATTGATATCGTTGCCAGATGGTCCATTTGTTTGCTTTTTCTTAAAAAAATTGCAATATAGTTAAAACCATATATAAAAAGTATATATAGTTCAAAATTGGGGTTCGTGTGATGTAGCCAACAAGGTCGAAATCTAGGAGATATCGAGCTCGACTTCTGGCATTCCCCTCACAATATAAACCTAATTAATCAGTAGTTCCATCACAATCAGAATGATCACCGAAGGATCATCAGCTTAAGCCATGGGAGAATGAAAAAGAATGTCATTTATGTAAGAAACACTGTTTAATAATTAGAAACAGCCACCATCCACCATCAGAATTTTCACGAAGCCTGCCGATCACAGTAGCGACCGGGTGTAAAAACAGACCTTTATTTGTTGGTGTTTCAGCAAAGAGAAAGGGAAAGGACGAGCAGAGAGAAAGGGAAAGGAGTGAGAGAAGGAGAAACCGGGTGAGGTCACAGTGTCACCGACTAGAATCTTCTAACATGAGACCAAGGAATTGAGTTTGCTGCAATGCCCCGAAACGGACACACACACCTTGGTTCTCTCACCTTTTACTCTCTTTCTAGAGAAGGTTTATAGCCAAGCTTCCCCGCATTGTAGCTGAGTCTCAGCCTAGATCTTGGCAGGAGGGCCGCCATGTTTTCCCATAAGGTTTTCGGACGAATTTCATGTGACAGTTATTGTCACATGACAATAACTGTGTAGATTGCCCTGGAGAAACAAAATTTTCTCAGAGATGTTACCAACACTCCAGGATGAACTACTATTCACATCACTGATTATTTCTGCTCGAGAATGAGTTTTTCTGTTTCAAGTGTCATTGTTCCTCAGGAAGAAAAGTGATCAGTCAATGCAGCAAATCGTTTTGTGTCTGCTTGGAAGCTTTTTTCTGTTCGAGCTCGCTCCACATTGGCACCTGTGGAAGGGTGAAACTAGGAGATGAAAACAGACATTAATCACAAAATACCTGCCAATGCTTGAGCATCCTTTTATCGTTTTTCCTGACATATAGAAACATGCATGCCTTCCATGGTCAGAAATGTAAACGCGGCTTAAGTCTTAAGAAGCAGTTCACAGAAGCAGTTCACACCAAGGACACAAGAAACTTTTTTTCGTGCTCAATGAAACTATGCCCAGTTTTTTGGTTTTTTGCTGGTAAATAAAAAGCCCTGATTAATAAACAACGAGCACAAGATCTGGATTGGACTTTGGAAATCAACAATCGGCTGCAAGAGTTCGGCTGCAAGTGGCACGAAGCACACGCGATCCAGATCATCCAAGGCCTAAACTAATGCAATATGAACTTAAAGCATAGCATGGGGAAATTCTCATGACTCGGACCAGTGGCAAAAGGGACTCTTTTGTATTTGGCAGAAAGCCTGCGCAAGTGACAAGACGAGAAAAGTACATAATACCTTTAGAATGTGGAGTCTGCAAACACTCTGGCAAAGATCTCTCTCGATCGAGCATCTTTACTTCCAAGATTTTTGGAAGTTCTATAGCTCGGGCTAGACTGTGTAGGCTTCGAGGTCTGGGTTTTCCTTTAAGAGAACAGCATCTGTAACATGACATCCGAGGAAGAATAATCCAAACAATACCAGGCTTCTTTTCAGAGACCGATCTTAAGCTAGTCTTCAGTGTACGCATTTCCTTGAATCCGACTGGGAGACCTGTCAACTCACGAGGAGATCTTAAACGTTGGAGCATAGATAGAGTTGGAAAGAACATCAGCATTGCAAAAGATCTAGCAAGAACCCTAAATCCAACGGCGTAAATTCAAAGAGCTCCCGCCAATAGATAAGATCTTAGCTCTCATAAACATGAGCCATCAACAAGTACGCTGACGATTTCACCCTCACATCCATTCCAACCAACGCATCAAATGCTTCACTTCCAACTCTCGTGTTCTTCCACTTCCTACAAGCGCTCAAGATCGTCATCCAGGTCACGACACCCGCTTGGAAAGGCATCGATCTCACAATCTCCAGCGCCTCCTCCAGATGGTTTGCTCGCCCCAGCATATCAATCACGCAGTGGTAGTGCTCTCGCCCAGGATCAATCCCATACTTCTCTCTCATCGATCCAAACAATCGTTTCCCTCGCTCCACAAGCCCGGCATGGCTACATGCGGCTAGCACACACAGCAGGGTCACACCTCCCGGCCTCACGCCAGTGTCCACCATCGCCTGGAACGTCACAAACACGAACTTCACGTCACCTTGGCGGCCATAGCCGGACACTAGAGCCGTCCATGCAACCACGTCCCGCGCGGCAACCATGGAACCATCAAAGACACGCTGAGCGTCGGCCATGGTAGCACACTTCCCATAGAAGTCGATCAAACCGGTGACCACGATGGTATCGCCCTCCAGTCCATGCCGGCAAATCTCGCCATGGAGACGTCGCCCAGCTTTGCTCGAGGCGATGGATCCGCACGCCTTGAGCGCCGCCGCGAGCGTCCACGAGTCGGGCTCCACTCCCTCGTCCACCATCGCGAAGAACACCGCCAGGGAGCTCTCGCCATCGCCATTCTCGGCGTAGCCGGAGACGAGCCCCGTCCATGACACTACATCGTGGCTCTCCATTTGATCGAAGGCCCTGTGCGAATCCTCCATGCTTCCAGCTCGCGAGTACATATCGATCAGGCTGCTCGCCACTAAAAGATCTCGATCACACCCGGCTTCCGTAGCTCGAGCATGAACAGCCATGCCTTTCTCCAGGCTCTCGATCTTCACAGCTCTTCCATCGAAGTCCCTGGCTTCTTCTCGCGATGCCAAGTGATTGCAAGCCTTCACAGCAGCAAGGTAGCTCAAGCTATTCGCCACAACGCGCGGTTCTTCCCTGTGCATGGCCGCGAGTAGCTCGAGCGCCATAGCCTCGCCATCATTCTCGGCATAGCCCAGCATGATCGCGTTGTACGAGACCACGTCCCGTGTAAGCATCGCATCGAAAACTCGGCGGGAATCCACCATAGTTCCACACTTCGCATACATGTCGATCAAAGTGTTCCCCACGAAAACGTCCCTGGAATCGCAGCCACCGTTGGCAGCTGCGAGGCGATGGATCGCCATTCCAGTGGCGAGAGCGCGAAACTTTATCACACTTCCGCCTTGCTCCTCCTCGGCAAGGCTGCTGCAAGCCTTGATCACTGCCACGAAAGTCCGAGCGTTTGCATGGTATCCCTGGTGAACCATGCGCAAGAAGAGCTCCACCGCCACCTCGTGCTCGCCATTGTCACCATAGCCGAGTATCAACGCCGTCCACGAGACAACGTCGTGGCTGGCGAAGCGCTCGAAGATCCTCCTCGCATCCTCCATACTCCCACACTTCGCATACAAATCCACAAGTCCGCAAGCCACGAAAGCATCCGACTCGAATCCACTCTTGCGAGCTTCGCGATGAACAGCCATGCCGGTCTCAAGAGTTCTCATGGATCGAGCGCTAGATGATCCTTCCTTCGCCGCCATAGCCAGGCTCGAGCAAGCCTTCACCGCGGCAACGAAAGTCCGAGCGTCCCGCGGGCAGTTCTCGCGTTCCATCACCTGGAAGAGCTCGAGCGCAGCTTGGCCATCGCCACTCTCGGCATACCCCAGCATGAGCGACGTCCAGGCCACCATATTCCTCCTCTCCATGCTCTCGAAAACGCGCCGAGCGTCGTCCATGCTGCCACACTTGGCATACATATCGACGAGGCAGCTCTCCACGAAAATGGATCCGCACCTCCTCTCCAGCGCCTGCGAGTGGATCGCCATTCCAATCTCCAGCGATCTCATCTTGGAAGTCGAGCATACTTCGCTACCTCTTTCTTCCTTCTCAGCCGTGGCAATGCTAGAGCATGCCTTGGCCGCAGCGACAAAAGTTCTCGAGTTTGGAGCGCAGCCCTCGTCGCGCATCGGCGAGAAGAGGGCGAGCGCCACCAATCCATCGTCGTTCTCTGCGTAACCGAGCATGAGCGCATTCCACGAGACAATGTCATGGCTGGGCATGGCGTCAAATACCTCTCGCGCTTCGCCCATGAGGCCGCAGTTGGAGTACATGTCCACCAGGCTGCTGCCCACGAAGAGATCGCCCGCCACTCCACTGGCTATGGCGTCGGAGTGGAGCTCCCGCCCCCTCTTGGCATCCCTGGCCTTGCTTGCCTCCTTGAGCGCCGCCAAGAGTGTGGCGATTCCCTTCGTCGATTTCTTTGCCACTTTCCAGCTCCTGCTGGTGGTGGTGGTGGTCGAAACGCCATCGCTGTGGAGCATCGCAAGAAGAGAGAATCTCTTAGCCACTTTTTCAATGTAAGTCAATGAAAAGTCAACTATGTCAACGCAAAAGTCAACATGGGATAATGAAAATGCCCAAGCTGGGCATTTAGAAGCTAGAAGAACGTTCTATTTTCATGAACGAATATTGTCAGGAAAAAACATATTACTGTATATCTGCGCACAAGATATGCTTCTTTACTTTAGACAAGTGTTCGATTCTATGCCCAAAGAAGATCTCCCAGCTTGAGGATCCGTACGTGTTGCAAATGCCCAAGAAGGGCATTTTTAAAGGCCTCCCAAAATTTGGGAATTTAGGGTTCCTGGCAATGGCGGTATTGCGAGCGCCGCAGGTACTCGCCCTAGGAAATCCCATGGCGATGGCAGCGGCGACGGCGGCGGCGCCGAGCTTGCGTTTCGCCAAAAGGTACTGCTCGACGCTGTCCAAGAAATCATCCTCCGCGCGGGTGAGATTCGTCGTTAGGGCGCAATGGAAGCAGGAAGTGCTGTGGACGTCGGCGCCGCTGGTCGAGATTGCTCCAGCGGCGGAGCAACTCTTCCACATCGTGCTCGACATTGGCCGGAATCCCGAGCTCCAGAAGGGTCACTCCAAGCCGGGGCAATTCGTCCAGATGAAAAAGGAGGAGCACAAGCCGGGATTCTTCGCCATCGCTTCGCCGCCTTCCACCGCTGCCAAGGGATTCTTGGAGTTCCTTGTCAAGGATGTGGAGGGCACTACCTCGGCTGTGCTGTGCGATCTGGCCAAGGGAGATAAGGTGGATTTGAGCCAAGTGATGGGCAAAGGTTTCGATATCGACCAGCTCTATCCTCCAGAGAAGTTCCAGACTGTGCTGTTCTTCGCGACTGGCTCTGGTATCAGGTAACGTGATTTCTTCTTCTTTTTTCTTCCGTTTCCATTCTTTTTTTCTTTTTTTTTTTTGTTCTTGCTCTTCGCTATCTCTTGGGATGGTAGACATGTTTTTCCACTCGTATCTGTTCTTACGTAGGGATTTTCTTCCTTCTTTCCACTCTCTTGTTCTTTCATTTCTTGGGATAGTTTGCGTAGACATGATGTTCCTTCTTTCCACTCGTTTTTTCTCTATCTTTTGGGATGGTTTACGTATGGTTCCTTTTTTTTTCAGGACAGTCCGATTCGATCACTTATAGAGGCCGGAATTGACGCGAACAGGAGGAGCGATGTGAGGCTTTACTATGGAGCAAGGAGTCTTGAGAGAATGGCATATCGGGTACTCTTCTTTTGTTTCTTTTTCGGTTGTCGATTCTCACTTATTTCTACGATAGGACAAGTTCAAAGAGTGGGAGGCAAGCGGCGTGAGCATAATTCCCGTGCTCTCGCAGCCTGATGGGAGCTGGATGGGCGAATCAGGATATGTCCAGGTACTTTTATGGTCATTGTTGTAGACATGATTCATTGTTTTCTCTTTTACTCCATCTCTCATTTTACTTCGCTTTATTGTGCCACAGGCAGCCTTTTCGAAGAACATAAGTATTCCAGATTCCTCTCAAGTTGTTACTTTTCTTTGTGGCCACAAGGGCATGGTCAAGGTAGAGATTTTTTGTTTCCCTTTGCCCTACCTTCACTGTGATGTTTTTATTGCAGGATGTGACTGATCTACTTTCGGCCGAAGGGGTTCCACAAGAGAAGATCATCTTAAACTTCTAAGCTCTCAATGTAAGTTCGCTTTACTTTTTTTTCCTTCTAGTGGTTCGGTCCTATGATGCATAATTTAGTAATCTCACTGCGCTGCCCGTTGACGTTGCACGTCGTTGCTCCCAGTCTTGGAACCGGTTGGAGCAGTGCTCGTGTAACTAGAATACGGACCAGTCGTATGAGGAATTGGCGTGGCTGAAGGACATGTTTTTGATTCACGATTCCCTGGTTGACTTCTCTCTCTTTGCAGATACAGAGTTCTTAACTGGAGCGAGACAATTCATTACCTGGTATGACAATTTTTTCCATTTCTTTTATGCTAAACTCTTCTTTTCTTTGGCAGACAAGGTAGCAGCACGAAATAAGACTCGAAAGCTTTGTACTATAGTTCTCCGACGTGTTTTGTAAGTCACTGTGACGAATCAAACCACAGCGGCTTGATAAAAATCTTTGGTGGTGCATCCAAATCGGAGTCTGGGTGGCACTTGTCGGTGGGGCAGTTTTGTATATATCTTTTTTTCTCTGTCACATTTACCTCGTCCATCTTTCTTCACAGGAGGATAGTGATCCCGTTTGGGCCCCAACGCGTAAAAAATCGTGTCCCTTTACTCGTTTTCCCGGACTCTATAAAATTATCCACTGGAGAGTGTCATCGACAGTTTAGCCTCGGTTCTTCTTCTCGGTTCATCTTCTCTTTGTCTACTCACATTTCTTTTTTTCCTCTATGGATTTCTTCAAGAAGCAGGCAGGATCCTTTCTCAGCGGAGACAAGGAGAGCGAGAAGCCAAAGACGGAAGAAGCAGGCCATGGATCAGGCACGGAGGAGCCAAAGAAGAGCAGCACGGGGGAGGCAAAGAAGACCAGCGGCGAAGTTCCAAGCTACTCGGAGCTTATGGGAAGTGCCAACGTTCTTCTAGACGCCGCGAAGCAGCAAATGGGAGGAGCAGGAGCTAAGAAGGAAGGCGGTGGTGGGGGTATGGACACTGCCAAGCTCGCCGACGCTGCCGAGGACATTCTCCAGGGCGCCTCACACTACGGCAAGCTCGAAGGCACGCCGTTTGGGAACTACGTGAAGAAGGCCGAGGATTATCTCCACACTTATCAGTCGAGAGAGGTCGACGTTGCTCCAGAGAAGAAAGAGGCCGCGGCGGGAGAGCTCAAGGCCGCGGCCGAGGATCTCAAGGGGAAAAGCAGCGTCCAAGACAAGGCTGTGGATGCTGTCCAGGAGAGAGTCGAGGCGGCCAGTGCTCCGAAGAGCGAAGAGACAGCCCTTTGAAAGGACCAAGGAGGAAGATCTTTGTTTCTTCCAAGTGTCTAGTCTAGATCTCGAGATGGGCGATTGCGTCATAGCTCAATTGCTCGATCTCTGGAAGTTCCTGGACGAAATCTAATTTGTTTGGCTCTAGAACAGTGTCAGGCAGCTCAATTGCTCGATCCCTGGAACGAATGGCATGTTGTCAAGGAGAGATCTCGGGCGAAATCGAAGTTCCCAGCTCGCCACCATGCACCCAAAGTGGAGCTTCTCCGGCTGGATCGAGTAATCGCTGCGCATCGACACGAGGTAGCTCCAGCCGGAATCCACGTCCCCGGTGTGGCCAAACGCCCCCAAAATCGAGACGAAGGAGACGGCATCCGGGGCCACACCTTGCAAATTCGCGGCCCACAGGAGATTCTCGGGGTCCTGGCAGCTGGTTCCGTGCGCCGCGAGCATCGTGTTCCAGGGCACGACGCGATCTGGGACTGCGTGTGGCATTGGCATTGTCGCAAAGAAGGAAATCGCTTTCTCCAGATGACCAAGCCGCGCTGAGCATCAAATTCCAAGACACTGTATCTCTTACCGGCATCAAATCGAAAATCCACTGCGTTTTCTCGATTGTGCTGCTCAATGCGTGAGCAGCTAACATAGAATTCCACGTGATTATGCTCTCGCATAGATTGGAAAATTGTGCTAGCTTCTGCCAAGAACCCTAAATGGGCATATGCTGCGAGCATGGCAGTTGATAAAACCACGTCTTTCTGGGGTGATGAATCAAACACTATTCTTGCGTGTTCTATCTGGCCGCTCGATCCATACGCAGTGACCATGGCAGTGTAGGACACGATATCATGATGGCCCATCGAATCGAACATGGAAATCGCCATTTCCAGATGCCCATTGTCGGCATATGTTGTGAGCATCGTATTCCATGCAACGATCTTCTCGGGAATTAGATCGAAGAAATCTTTGGTTTGATCGATAGGGCTAGAGTTCATGAGCGCGGAGAGCATTGCATTAGGAGATGAGATCTCTGCACGGCATCGAGTCAAAGAGCTCGATCGGGAGGGCGTGGCACCTGTTTTGGGCGTAGGTTGTGAGCATTGCGTTGTAGAGGAGGAGGTTCTTGGCTGGGTTTTGATTGAAGAGGCTCTTGGCAGGTTTCACTTGGCTGTTGTGCAAGTAGGCGGTGATCATCAGATTCCAGGATGCGAAGCTTTGCTCTGACATTCGATTGAAGAAATTCTTGGTGCTGTGGATGTTCTGACTCTTGTCATTTCTTATAAGCATCTCAATGTTTAGACTTTTTACTATAACAACACTAACAAGATATAAAGTCTCTATCCAGGAAATGAAAGTCACCACTCCAAAAATATCAACAATATTGATAAGTGTAACCCCTTTTATCACATGCCTAACAATAGACATTATGGTTATAACTATGCCTTCATCTTTGTTTTTGAACTTAGGCAGCAATAACATCCACCTCCATTGAAACATAACTATCTTTTATAGGAAGTGGAGTTGAAGGACATGTAATGAGAAATGAAAGAGGTGACATTTCATAATATTATGCCAAGTGAAGAGTATTGTCTAGGGTGGTTAAAGTAAGTACATATACAAATTTTACAAGATCTCTACAAAGTGTTAGCCACAACATTCCTAATTTGATCTTCTTTGATATATTTGGCATAAAGTAAAAAACAAACACCAAATTGCATCACTGGCTCATATAGCCTTAGATAAAAATGATGTAATTGTTGAAAGGCATTATTACAATCATCAACATGTCTAAATGCACGAAGACATTTAGAAGAATGCTCTAATCCTCATGAGTTGCTACATTTAAACCATTATACCACTGTAACACTGTCTTTTGGAGACATGTGGGAAACTTACACAATTGTTGAGCATTATCCCAAGAATAATATGTGCTATAAATTGATCAAATTAATGGTACATATCATCTCCAGGACTCCCACAGAAGAACTCCGGCCAAATGCAAGGATTAGTACCAAGAGCATGAGGAGTTGTATCACATGCTATGAATATTGCTATCGATTGAGTTTGATTATTCAATTATAACCACATAGCATTGAATAATTGCACTAACTGCTGCTCCAAAGTTAAAGAAAAATAACAGAGAAGAAATTGGAAAAGCTATAAAGAAAGGAAGATTTAGACTGTTAGGAATCCCCCAATTCTTGCCACATTCCTGACTTTTGCCGGATTCCTGACCTGCAGACCACATTCCTGAGTCTTGAGACACTTCCCTATTCCTGACTCTCTGATTTCCCATATGATTCTTGAGTCTCGAGCCACATTCCTAATGATGACGTGGCGCTTCCTCGACCTCAACTATATTTAGGCCGTCTTCGATCCAAGAGTGGTGGAGCTTTATCAACCTATAATATATATAGGTTAGCTTTGTTCCATTTCTCCACAATCTGAATCAATGCCAGTCTAAGGCCTCTTCTTCATCTCCTCTATCTTTTCTCTTTGTCTTTTGCATTTTCCAATCTTGATCTTGTTGAGGGTCTTGACAGTTTGATTCAGATTGTGTTTTTTCATTTTTGCTTTAGTTCGTTTTGATTGTTTGACTGCCTTTGCCTTTTTCCCCCTTTTTTTTCTTTCTTCTTTGCCGATGGAGTCTCCAAGCCATCTTGATTTCTTTGCCGAAGTCCTTGCAAAAATCCAGTCTAAGAATACCAAGTTGAAGGCGACTCTTCTTCGCATGCAGCAGGAGCTTGCTTCACTTTCGGCTCAAGGATCCAGCAAAGTTCCTGAACCGAAGGTGAGTTTCTCGACAAAATTTTCAGGCAAGCGTTCGGAGCTTCGCGGATTCCTGAACCAGATGGAGCTGATTTTCGCACTTCAACATCGGCGGTACCCCACTCCCGAGTCTCAAATCGGTGCGATTGGGACGTTGCTCGAAGGTGCAACTTTGTCATGGTTTTCTCCTCTCCTGGAGAAGAGCATGAAAGGGGTCGTGGTTTCGGAGCTGATGGATCTTCAGTTGTTCAAAAAGAAGCTCGAAGTATGTTTTGGCAAGACGGATCGGGTTCGGGCTACCACCACAAAAATAAGATGTCTCTCTCAAGGGTCTCGTCCTGCCTCAATCTATGCTGCAGAGTTCCAACTCCTTGCCTTGGACACTCAGTGGGATGAGCGGGCCTTGATTGATCAATTTTGTTTCGGCCTCAACAACGGTGTCAAGGATTTGTTGCTCACCATGGAGGATTTCACGTACCTGTCAGATGCCATCAACAAAGCTGTTCGATGCGACAATCGTCTCTTTGAACGTCGTCAGAAAAGTCGCCGTGCCACCGTTTTCCCGTCCCAGACTCAGGAATCCCAGCTTGAGTCTTCGAGGCATACTCATGAACCTACTACTCCGGTCCCGATGGATATTTCTGGTACTCCCCGACTCATCAGAGGGAAGTTGAGTCCTGTTGAGAAGCAACGTCGAATATCTCATAATCTTTGCCTTTACTGTGCTGATTCTAATCACAAAGTAGTTGTGTGTCCCAAGAAGCCTCCCCGACTGCTCGAGTACACTCTGCCTCAAGGTCCACCTCTGTTGCAATCGGGAAACAACCCTGTCCAAACAGAGTAGGAGCTGTCTGTTTGGACTCCCCGAATAAAAATCACTTTTCTTCTTTATCAAGCTCCTCACCACCTTTCATCAAAGCCACCACCAATTCCCGCAACTTCTGCATCCCATGTCTCCTTTCTTTCACCAGATAATTAGGACTCAAGACTCTAGCGCTACTAGACTCGGGTGCAACTTCCTGCTTCATGGACATGGACTTTGCCACCCAACATCACATTCCTCTTTCTCCTACCATACGGGATCTGAGGGTTGAAGGCATTGGCGGGCATTTTGTGTCTCCATCTTCTGGACTTAGAGAAACATTGCCCGTTCGAGTACACATCGGGTCCACCGTCACCGATATCGCCTTCAACATCATTAACAACAAATCCTCCTCTGTGGTGCTCGGCCTTCCTTGGTTCCAACTACACCAGCCTCAGATCTGTTGGAAGGAATTACAGTTCGTCTCTCCCACATCACCATCTCCCATAGCTTCCCCTGTTGTTCATCAAGTCCGAATCAGGAAAAGTTCCCTAAACTCAAATTGGGGTTCTATTCCTGACTTTACCAAGTTTTCACCCTCTTCTTTTCCCTCTCCATCTTACACTGGATAGTATCCTTGTCTCATCATTCCATTTAGTCGTACACCTCCTCCTATCTCCACAATCACTATGAAAGAACTTCTTCATGAAGACCCTATTGTCCTTTTTGCTTTGCATGTTTCTCTTGTCAGTCTTCCTAAGAAGTATCATGATTTTGGGGATGTGTTTGATAAGAAAAAAGCTAGTGTACTACTTATTCATCAGCTTTATGACTGTCCCATTGATTTATAGGAAGGAGCATCACCTCCGTGGGGGCCTATCTACGGGTTATCCCTGTCTGAGCTTAAGGCCCTCAAAGAGTACGTAGATGAGAACCTTGCCTCGGGGTACATTCAGCATTTGCAGTCCCTGGCTGGAGCGCCTGTCTTCTTTGTGAAGAAGAAGGATGGGAGTTTGCGGCTAGTCATCCACTACCGAGGTTTGAACAAGGTGACTGTTCGGAACCGTTATCCGCTGCCCCTGATCTCGGACCTGTTGGAACGCCTCGGCGGTGCCCGCTTCTTCACCAAGATCGACCTCCGTGGAGCATACAACCTAATCCGGATCCGGCCTGGCGATGAATGGAAGATTGCGTTCCGAACCCGCTATGGCCACTTCGAGTACACTGTCATGCCATTTGGCTTGACAAATGCTCCAGTAGTTTTCCAACACATGGCAAACGATGTCTTTCGGGAGTTTCTTGATCAGATGGTGATCGTCTACCTTGACGACATCCTCATCTACTCAAAAACTCAGGAGGAGCATGACGAGCATGTGCGCAAGGTGCTGGCGAAGCTGCGGGAACACGGCCTATACGCGAAGCTTGAGAAATGTTCCTTCGATCAGAAGTCTGTGGAGTTCCTTGGGTACATTGTCACTCCTGAGGGTATCATGATGAATCTTGCCAAAGTCAAGACTATTCTCGAATGGGAGCCTCCACAATCAATGTCGGACGTTCAGGTTTTCCTTGGCTTTGCCAACTTTTACCGCAAATTCATTGATCACTACTCTGATATTGTCCTTCCTCTCATGCATCTCACTCGCAAGGATGTTCCCTTCTCTTGGTCTGCTATTGCCCAACAGGCCTTCGACACACTCAAGGTGGCCTTCGGTTCTACTCCCGTCTTGATCCATGCTGATCCCTCCCAACCTTTCTTCATCAATGTTGATGCCTCCGACTTTGCCATCGGTGCTATGCTGTCTCAACTCGGAGCGGATTAGAAATTTCATCCAGTCACTTTCCATTCTCAAAAATTCCAGCCTGCGGAGATCAATTACAAAATCCACGACAAAGAGCTCCTTGCCATCGTGGATTCCTTTGGAGAGTGGCATCGTTTCTTGGAGGGGGTAAGCCATCAAACAATGGTCTAGACGGATCATAAAAATCTCAAGTACTTTGCCACTTCCTAAGTTTTGAGCCGTTGTCAGGCAAGGTGGGCCCAATTTCTGAGTCAATTTGACTTTGTTATCAAGTACAGACCTGGAAAGCTTTAAAGCCTTCCTGATGCTCTTTCAAAGCGCTATTATCTCAGTCTTAGGCCTGGTAATCTTGCCTTCGATCAACAGGATTAAGTTATCCTCGGTCCTGATCAACTTCAAGTTATGGCAATTTCCCTAGCCCCTCAGGACTCCTCTTTGATAGATGTGATCAGAAATGATCTTCAATCCAACGACCTTGCCAGCGACATTTTCCCCCATCTTCAGGCTGGACACCCAGTGACTCCCGACTGCCGGCGATTTGACGAGCTTGAGTTCTTAGATGGCTTGTTGTACCGTGGGGAGCAACTTTACGTTCCTGAAGGTGATGCTCGAAGGTTGGTTCTGA